TGATCTTGAAGGTCTTTTCCAACCTTGGTGATTCTGTGAGTCTATGACTTCTTGCTGCTTTCAGTGGAGATGACACCTCCATTGGTGTAAATCAGGTAGGTCCCCTTGGCATGAGCGTCATGTCCTATCCTATGCACTGAGAGTGGGTGGGAGAAGCAAAGCGAGGACCTGCAGGAGATGAGGGTTAAGTCCAGTGATGGGTTTCAGCCCTTGGATGGGAGTGACTGCCATGGCCTGGTGCAGGAGGGAGATCCACACCATCAGGTCTCATGAAACACACATCTGATCTTTTTCCTCTGCATTACACCAACAGCACAGCAGGAGGAGGAAGGAGGTCATGGGTGTCACAGGAGTAGAGGAAACACAAACAATGTCTCCAAGAGCCAGCCAAAGTTGAAGAGGATCCACAGCTTCTTGGGCTCCCCAAAACTCTTCCATGGGACATGGGCATGGATATGATCATTGTCCTCAGTGCTGGGACATGGGCATGGATATGATCATTGTCCTCAGTGCTGGGACATGGGTATGGATATGATCATTGTCCTCAGTGCTGGGACACAGCTGCTGAGTTGCTCTGGGAGTTGGTTATGGGAGCTGTCTTCATCAAGATGACCTTCACCTTCCTGATTGTTACTCGACTCTGCTAGCCTGGCCTTGCTCACCCCATTGGCACACATGAGGTTTTCTGGATGCCAGGCAGCGTGGTTTCATCAAAAGGGTTGATGTGACCATCAGAAAACGATGGTTGTAAGGAAGGATGGGATATCAAGAAAAAGGGGATCAGAGGAAGAGATAACAAGAGATAACAGGGGTCAGATAGAAGAAGCTTGGAGCTGGGAAGAATAAAAAGGGCAATAAGGTGTGAGATGAGTTATATAGATATGGGAAGAACACTAGATCTGCAGGTCGTGGATTGCTCCCCATTGCCTGTTGTGACCATGGAAAGAGGCAGAAAGGATTCCCCCAATTCACAGATACCTGCTCATCGTAGCAATGCCAAAACCCACCTTGCAGCAACCCTAACCACTCCACCAACAATCTTTCCATGAATGTACCATCACCCCAACCCAAGCCCGGAGAGAAAAACCTCCTTATTAGCTGCACCACGTGGCTTCTGCATGTTGATCCCCCATGCTTGAGCTGCTGGGCTGGGTTTTGCAGGAGCACGGCGACACAGGGCTTCACTGTCATAGAATCATAGACCATAGAATGGCTTGGGTTGGAAGGGACCTCAAGGATCATGAAGCTCCACTGCATGCAAAGCCACCAACCTCCACATTTCAGAGCAGCTCAGGCTGCCCAGGGCCCCATCAACCTGGCCTTGAACACCTCCAGGGATGGACGGGGCATCCACAGCCTCTCTGGGCAGCTGCTCCAGCACCTCACCGCTCTCAGAGCAAAGAACTCCCTCTGTGTGGGCTGAGCTCTCCTGCCAGCACTTCTGCCCACTCATGCGTCACCACTGCTCTCCCCCATTAATGTGTAACTTGAAGCTCCCTCGGGCACATTTCTGCCATCACAGCATTATCTGTTCCCTGCCGGGTGCATCCCTGCTTGCTTGGAGCATTGGTATTTTTATCTGTGGGTGTTGTGTGAAAGGCACAGCCTGGGGAGGGCTGGGCTGCCTGGAGAAAGGTCTCCCACATCCCCAGGGCTACCAAAGGCAAGTCCTTTGTGGACAGAAAGTGAACAACCACCTGGAGAGAACTTCTTCAGAAATGTGTCTTAAGGAAATTTTGGAGACCGGGAGCTCAACAAGGCTGAATGTCTTGTGGAGGTGGGAAAAGCTCCAGGGTGAAGGGAGTCCTTGGCTGTGCAGGGCCGTACCAACCCAGAGCCACCTGGGCTGGATGGTGATGGCACTGATGTTCTCCCTGCTGCTTTCACACACACACACCTCCATCCACAAGGACCTGTGTTCTTCATTCACCTCCCTGGCTCGTTTCCTACAGCCATTGGCAGCTGAAGAGAGGAGGAACCAGTGTCCTGTTGGGATGTAAGACCTTTTCAACCCCAAACCATTCAACTCGGAGGCCCAGGCTGTGGTTCAGCCATGGGTCTGGATGGAGCCTCAGATTCTTCAAGGACCAGTTTCCATGGGGAACAGCAACTTCTCCAAACCAAATATGGCAAGTTTTCTGCCAACACTGTGGCCACAAGCCCAATATTCCCTTTTCATTTTCCTCATGCTTTGCACACTGCTCAACCACTGAAGTGAAGGAGATCAGGAGAATTTCTTCCTTATACATTTGCTACCACTTTCAACCACAAAACCTCCATGGTGCAAGTCAGTGACTTTCACATCCTTTTCTCTATCTCACATCTTCGAGGTGTCACTATCTGCTTCCTTAAGATGTCACTATCTGCTTCCTTCTCCTCTGTTTCAGTCTTCCCCATGAAGGGGACGAGACCTCATCACTAAATACTACATTGAGAGTCGTACAGATGAAGAAGCACTGAGGTTTTACTTTCTTGGATAAGAAGATGTAGGAGCCAAAATCTTCCCTACAGGGAGGAATCCCATCACAGTTGGTTCTTCCAAGTAAAAACCCGGGTTAAAATCCAGTGTATGCATGATAACAGAAGTGAATCTCCTAAAAAAACTTAATGGGGAACTGTGGTCATTGATGGGATCTTGCTCTAAAAAGGGCTGCTTTGATGGGGCAGGAGGAGACATGAGGAGGTGGATGGGTGGCTGTGTGGTGATGATTTTGGGAGTCCCCATCCACGTATGGGTGGAAGCCTTGGATGTGCCTGTCCCTGTACAGAAGGAGACCTGTGGGTGCCCATCCATGAATGTTGGAGACCTTGTATGAGTCCATCCACGTATGGCGGAGATTCTGGGGATGCCCACCTGTGCATGTTGAAAACCTTGGATGTTCCTGTCTCTGCGTGAACGAAGATCTCAAAGGTCCCTACTCACATATGGGTGGAGGATTTGGGAGTGCCCAACCTCTAAAAAAGCCAGGAAGGAAGTGAAACTGGATGTGGAGCTGACAGGATGGCATGAGTCAAACTCAGCATTTTATCCCATTGCGCATAGGGGCCCAGCACCCTCCTTCAAAGGGGGGGATGCTGGGGGGCCCGGGCTCAGTGCTGAGCTTTGGTGTGTGAGAACAGAACAGAAGCTTCCTCTGCAAACAACATGAGGAGGTGGGAGCAACGTGCTGATCTTAGGGCCAGGCTTTGGAACATGCCAGGAGATGAAAACTCATATAGAAAAGGCACACCAGGGCTGTGTGAAATAAAATAACCACGATGGCTTTGGATATTTTTATGCTCATGGAGCAGAGCATGCACTGAGTAAAGAGACTGGGGCTGTAATGATGCGACCGAGTAAAATCATGGAATCATTCAGCTTGGAAAAGACCTCTAAGGTCATCAAGTTCCAGCTGTTCAATTACCACCAGTACTGCCCACAAATCACCACAGCTGCAGTATTTTTCACAATACTGACTTCCAAATGTGAAAACACAGACACAGCAATGGGAGCTCAGCCTTTCCCATGAGCACATCCCTATTACCAAAGTTCAGAAAGTGACAATAAAGCCTCTGCAGATGAATCTCTGCTGCTGGTGGTAGATCCCAGCTCAGGCTGGGACATGGCAGAGAGCCCTGCCGTGTGGGAAGGTCCTGAGTGGCCTCATGCCCTTCAATCAGCCAGCTCCAGGCTGTGGGATAGCACCTGATTGGTGGTCACAGCACAGGAATAGCCTCTGCAGTCATCCAAGCTGAGATGAAATTGTAGGCAGAGAGCATCCCCACGCCCTGGGTGAGATGCATTTGCAAGCCAGTATGAGGGAGAAAATGCCACCTGGGTGTGAATGCCACCCCTGCCAGGGTGTGGGAGTGATTTCCATCTCTCCAGCATCTCTCCTCCTGTTGCAAAAGGTGTTGTCTGAAACTGGAAAGTCCTCTTGGCCAATTTCCTTCTGATCTTACTGACCCCTAGATGCAACCATTTGCCTTTTCCATGTTTTTGTCAGCCCTCCCCTTGTCCCACTCACCCCCACGGGTCCACACGCCCATCACTGTCCCTTTGTGGACACCCAAGTACAGCCTGTGCATGGGAACCTTGGATATGTCATTAAACTCTGGTGGCACAGGAACATGGTCTAGATGTTGCCCTCTATGAGCAAGACTAAATCTACTCACATAGACACCAAAATAACTTGACGCAATGCCCATTGGAGTTGGATTTGAGCTAGAAGGCTCCTATGTGTGTCTATAAGGATGGTCATGGCGAGGGAAATTGGGACAGGGCAACCCTAACATGCTGTGGGACAGTGGGCACCCCCTACCCAAGCAATGCAGCAATGTGGGATCTCTGCAAAAAGCTCAGAAAGCAGAGGGCAGGGAGAACTACCTCACCCTGATCCAAACCTAACCCCAAATCCAACCCCAAGCCTAACCCTAACCCTAACCCTGACCACAACTCTAACCCTGATGTAACCTGAACCCCAACACCAGTCCTAACTCTAACCATGACCTTCACCCTCACCGCAAGCCTAACCCTAACCACAACCCTAACTCCAAACTTGAACCCCAATCCCAAACCTAATCCTAACCATAAACATAACCATCATCATAACCATAACCATGACCCTAACCCTGATCCTAACCCCAACCCAGACCCTGACCCAGATCCTAACCCTTGTGTAACCTCCCAGCAATTTTCACTCTCTCCTACCTGCTGATGATCCACAATGTATTACTTGGGAAAGAAATCTGACAGCAGGGAGGGGAGGGGAGGCAAAGAGTTAACCCCATGTCAGGCTGCAGACGCAATGTCCCACCATGACAGCACTTCTGAGACCTCCTTGTGCACGCTCCACGGAGGGCTGGAGGACCAAGGCACCGTCAAGCTCTCCTTTAACAACACCTGTAACTCTTTACCACCTGCACGGTGGGACGGATCATGCCTTAGGAACAGCACCAGGATGGGGAGGGCAGGCAATGTGTTGCAGACGAAGCTGCTGGAGGAAATGGGTTCAGCAAGGACAAGTGGAACTGGTCAGGTTGGAGCAGTCAGCTGGAAAGGGGTTCTGAAGGTGAAGAGAGGTGGTGCAAGCTGTCCTCGGGTCGATGGAGTGTGTTTGCAGCGCTGAAAGCCAACGGTGCTTTGAGTGGTGTTAGTGGGGGGCAGCTAATATCACCAGGCTTTGATTCCTGCTCTTTGCTTGGTGATGGTGATGTCCCATCTAGGCACTGGGTCCAATATGGGGCTGCTTAGCAGCAGGTTGAGGGGAGTGAGTCCAGCAGGGTCACCAGGATGGAGCTGAGGACACAGGAGGAGGGGTGGAGAGCTCAGTGTGCAGCTGCAAAGAGGGATTTTAGTATGGGGTCCTTGCTGGGATGGCACGGGGTAGATAGAGCTGGGCTGTTCTTGGAAGTCCCAGTGCTAAGGCAAGAAACAGCATCACAGATGGGGAACATGGAAATTTCCATTTGGAGAAAAAATGTCTCCATAAGTGAGGACAAAGCCCAGAGGCAGGGATAAGCCTCCCTCTTTGGAGATGTCCAAGCCTGCCCTGGGCACAATTGGCCCCAGTGGGGTGGTACCCATCCCGTGGGGCTTCACCAGTACTTGGTGGAGTGGGGCACTGCGTTGCTGTCACTGTGCAGAGCTGAAGCAGAGCCAACAGAAGGTGATATTGCAGAAAACGATTTCTTGGTCATCGTAAACAATGGGGAAACATTGTGGAAATGTAATTAGCTAACACAATTACACCTCTCTGCTTCATCCAACCAGCGTGGTTTTGGTTCGGGCTCTTGAGGAGGTGTGCAGGTGTGATATTTCCGTCATATTCACCTTTAACCCACGGGGAAACTGAGTCATGGACTTTCCCACGCTCCTATTCCTTCATCCCTATCACGTGCCCACAGCAGAGTTATTTTGGCAGCTGAACTTCAGGGCAGACTCCTCAGATGGGCACTCAACTTCCTGGAAGCTCTACAGCCACAGCCCTCTAAGACCCCATCCCATCTCCCCATGGAGACCATCTCACCATGGCAGATGACCTCAGACCCCTCATTGCAGAGCTGTGGGTACACGTGGATGCTGCCCTGGAGCTGTGTTGAGCTGGTTAGCACGAGCGGTGAGCCCTGCCCAGTGGTGACCATCAACTTTTCCCTCTGGTCTGACTGGTTCCCATCACCCCACGGCCTCAGTGGGACACAGAACACAGACCCAGAGTGGTGCATAGGATCACCGTGGTGCTGGGGGTCCCCAGCCATAGACACGGGAAGAAGTATGGCACTGTGTTCCAAAACAGCAGCTTCATTATTACGGATGAAAGGTCGCCAACCCAGAGGACTCCCCAAGAAAGGGAGGGGTTCCTCCTGCTGCAGGAAGATGAGTGACTCACTCCTATGGAAACTGGAGGGATGAGGGAGAATATCCCTCTCCCTGGTGGCAACCTATCTGCAGATAAATCTCCATCCATTTCCCTAGCACATACTCACTCTTCAAAATTTCTATTCCTGGGCTTTTCTTATCAGATGGTCTATTTATTCCAACATAAAGGTTCTTGGTCCTCACTGGGGCTCCAAGCACATCCCTGTGCTTTGCCATGGCCATCCCACAGCTGACTCACTGAAAGGGAGAACACCAGGAAACACCTGCAGGCACTTAGCTGAGGGAAAGGGCTTCCTCGTGGTGTTTTCTAACCAAGAGGAGGTAGATTCTGATGTACAGTTTTCATGTGCCAGCTCTATGGTGAGTCCAGGTCCCAGCTGCCCAGGTTGACCTCAGCCTGCTTAATGTATGAGCCCCACTGGGAGCAAAACCATCATCTACTTTTCATGGGGAACCTTGTGCGTAATTCATCTCTACTGCAAACCCAGGGCCTTCCCCTTGACTTGAAACAGGATGAGGAGCTTCTGCTTGTGATCACCCCCCACTCCTTCAATTTTCAGCCCAGAAAAGATCAGCTCAGCTTTTCCTTCCCAAAAAGACCTGCCCTGGTTGCTATAGGGAAGAGGAATATTTGGCTTGCACAGCATGAAGCCCTGTGTTGTGTGCCGAAGGGCCCTTTGGTCAGTGGATGGCTAAGCTCAAATTGCATAAAGTACCAAACAGTCATGCACAGGGCAGAGACTGCAGGGAAGAAGCAGTGTTAAACACCAGGACCAGCTGGGCAGGAGGCAGTGGGATCTCCACATGGATCTCTAACACAAGACACAATGCCTTCCTAACAGAGATCGGTCCAAGCTGTTGGCTTCATGAAGGGTTGAGGGGTGAAATTCAGGTGGCGGCCAAAATCCTGGCCCTGGTTAGCTATAGGTGTGGGCTGCTCCATGGCTGGCATGGCTTCGCACCTTCACTCTGACCCCAGGTCTGTGGGGATCTGCTGAGCAGAAGATGCTGGGATAGCTCAAGTTGGAAGGAACCACAGGAGACCCCAACTCCACCATGCTACTCATGGCATGGGCAGCTCTGGGGTCAGACCAGTTTGTGTGGAGCTTCCTCCAGCTGGGTCTTAACCTCCAATGACAGTCATTGCTCGTGGTGGAAAGCTTTTCCCTTATCTGACATAGCAGTGGCAGTGCAACGTCAAGCATCACCCAAGCCTTGGCCTTCAGAGGGTGAAGGAGCGCCGCCATCGCCTCTCCTGGGAAAGCCCCAATGGCAGCAGGTGGCTCTGGGGACACAGGGAAGGAGCCCTTCTGGGTTAACACACATCCCCAGCTGCTGCTTGCACATCTGGAGGCCTCAGGCTTGCTCCTCCAGATGACCTGGCAAAACGATGCTGCTATCAGGGTTTGTATCTCTTTGCTGCAGGTCCTGCACTCCTCCCTCTGCCCGTGTTTCATGAGTTACACGCTGCCAGACTCCCCTTCCTCGGGGATGATGGGTTCATTCCTCTTTTCCTTCCCTCCCTCCTTGCCTACACGCATCCTTAGACACGATTTATGTTTTCCTTTTGTGATGTCCTGACCAATACTCACTTCATTAAGCACTCAATTGCTCCCCACTCGTATTTAGCTTGGAAACACTCTCCTTTGATTTCAAGACTTGTTTGGGAAAAAAAAAAACGAAAAAAGAAAACAAGCACAAGTCCGACTGTACCCGTCGGTTAAACAAACTATTGCCTCCAATCTTGTTTTCACCAATCTGGACTTTCCAGTACTGCTCAAGGGTGGGAGGAGGATCTACAAGGAAATAACTGCGTGACCGGGGAGGAATGGAGGTGCGCTCAGCTTCCCAAAGAGCTGAGGGCACTGAAAGTGCTGGTGCTGAGCCTGCTCCCACCCAGGGCACCGCCAGCACTGTGGGCACACACCAAGAACCACAATGCTCTGGATCCACGTTGGCCCCATCCATGATCCTAAGCCCAGAATCCAGCCTGGGAGGCTCCGGATTCATCCCTGGAACGTGACCTTTGCAAGAGGGGAGGGGTGAGAGAGTTATTTTAGCTGTGGTGGCAAAGATCCAAGGAAGAAAAGCCAGCCAGGCTTGAGATAAGAATATTGGCCCTCTGACAAGGACACAGGCTGTGAGCGAGCCTTTGGGCCGGCCTCGGTTCTGGGGAGTGCTGTTGGTGGGTGCAGGAAAATGGGGGTCGAGAAAGCCGTGCTGAGGGAGCACACAGCCATCACCCCGTGTTTCCTCCCATCCCCAATAGATCAGTGTAGGTTGGATTTCCAGCTCCCAAAGTGCTCTGATCCCATCCCAGCCACAGAGCTCTGCGTTCTGCACATCGGCTTCACCTCTCAAGTTGGGTTTGATTGATGCTAAATGGGAAATCACCATATGGTTCTATCATAGAATCATAGAAACATAGAATGGCTTGGGTTGGAAGAGACCTCAAGGATCATGAAGCTCCAACCCCACACCACAGGCAGGGCCACCAACCTCCACATTTCAGAGCAGCCCAGGCTGCCCAGGGCCCCATCCAACCTGGCCTTGAACACCTCCAGGGATGGACGGGGCATCCACAGCCTCTCTGGGCAGCTGTTCCAGCACCTCACCACTCTCTCTGTCAAGACCTTATCAAGTTCTTTCTATCAAGAATTCTTGATTCTTTATTCTATGATTCTTGATTTTATCAAGAATTGGGGTGGCCCTCATGTGGCTCTTCTTCAAATGGGGTTTGTCTCCATGGGGAAGCTGCTATGGGGATGATGTGTGTGCAGGAGGAGGCCATGAACCCACTCTGTTCTGAAGGGCAGGAAGCAGGATGGGTCTTTGGGTTTGGGGAATCCCTCATCAAGTCAGGGCACTCACAGAATCACAGAATCACAGAATCACCAGGGTTGGAAAAGACCTTCAAGATCACCCAGTCCAACTGTCCACCCATCACCAATAGCTCTCACTAAACCTCGTCCCTCAACACAAAATCCAACCGTTCCTTGAACATCTCCAGGCTCGGTGACTCCACCACCTCCCTGTGCAGCCCATTCCACTGCCTGAGCACTCTTTCAGAAAAGCAGTATTTCCTAACATCCAGCCACTCTCAGCTTGGAGTCTGAAGTTTGGCTTGGTGAGCTCCTTCCACCTATGGGAAACCTTGATTTAGATGAACATCTCCTCAACCAAGCTGGACAAGTATCATCCTCCAACACATGGAGCTGCAGAAAGCAGTAAGAATCATTCAGGTTGGAAAAGACATCCAAGATCCCCACGTCCAACCCGAACCCACCCCACCATGCCCACTGCCCCCATCCCTCAGTGCCACATCCGTGCACCTCTGGGACACCTCTAGGGATGGAGATCCCACTCCCTGGGCAGAGCCTCCTGCGTTCCCTCCGGTGTCCGTGTGTCCCTCTGCCCATCCAGCCTTGTGCCCTGGCTCATCTCAGCATGGATATCCCCAAGGACACATGGGTTATTTTGGAGTGGGAGGGGAAGGAAGTCCATTCAAAAGCCCTGTATTGAGAACAGCTGGGTTGTTTTTTTTGGGAACAAAGGGATTCCAGGGTGGGACCTGTGCTGTGCATCCCCTCGTGGTGAGCAGAAGGGAGCAGACCCCTGCAGCCTGGACTCACACGTGTGCCTCCACGCCGCTGCCAGGGGCTCGTGCCCTTCTCAGGTTCTGCAGATGGAGAAATGAGCCCTCTGGGAGGCAGCTTCTCCTCGGGGCACTGCTTTGGGCACAGACCACAGAGTGTGCAGTCACTGCTGCTGTTTTTAGAAGGGCTCAGTTTCAGAGCACATGCTCTACGCCTCTCTTGTTCCTCTCAGTGCTGCCAGGATCCGTGTAATACCCCTTCCAGCAGCATCACTGTTCCCAGGGCAGCAGCTCTCCCCCCAGATCCTTCTACTCAAAGCCCCTCACAAAACAGCTTTCAGATAAGACCTCACTGCTACTGCAGCGTGTTTTTAATTTGATTTTCAACCCTCAGTCTCACTGACCATTTTCCAGGCAGCCCGCAGCACACGTAGTCCATACCGACGTGTTAATTTTAACACGCCTGCCCCAACAGGCTGCTTATTTAAGGGTTTTACAAAGCAAAGCTGTCAGCCACAAAGGCATCCTTGTGCTTCTGCTCCACCTGGGAGGCCGCTGCAGCCCCAAGTCTGCTGCAAGCATCTCCCTGTGGGAAGGGGATGCTCGTGCAGTTTGCTAGTGCCATGCAGAAAGCTGGCAGCTGAGAGATGGGGAGGAATAACAGGCAGATCAGTGCTAACATGGGTTTGCTGCATGAAGAGAGGATGGATCCTTTGGTTTCCAGCATTACCAGAGGCTGGGGGGGTCTCCAGGAGCCCTCAGGGCACCGTAGCTCTGTCCTCACCTCTGCCCCTGTGCCCCCTCCTGAAGTCCCTTAGGTGGTGGAAGAGGATGGCTTAGACACTGCACATCTTGAGTGGGCAGGAAACCAAAACCCCATCTTCTGTTGAAGAGTAAAAATAGATGTCGAGGTGAGAAAAATCACAATTCTGTGCTGCAACGCTGTGGGAAAGGTCGAGTCCCTCTGCCTCCTGCACACAGTGCCTAGAGGGACTGGTTTGTGGTGCTCTTCCAGCCCCAGATCCCATCCCTGACCCCTTTTCTCCCATCAGTGCCACTTTTCTGCTGGGCTGGACACTGGAAAAGTCCCCCTGCATGTTGCCAGTGGGTACTGATCTCAACCCATGCACAGTCCATTGGGGTTCACCACCACGGCTGACATTCTGTTGTCCAACTGCATTGTCCCTCCATGCCCCTGTGAGGAGTTGTAGGGCCGCCATGAGGAGCTGTAGGGTTGCCATGAGGAACTCTATGACCCCCATGAGGGAGCTATAGGGTTGCCATGAAGAGCTGCAAGGCCACCATGAAGAGCAGTAGGGTTGCCACGAGGAGTTTACTGTGATGGAGCTGTAGGGTTGCCATGAGGAGCAGTAGGGCCATCATGAGGAGCTGTAGGGTTGGCATGATGGAGATGTAGGGCCATCATGAGGAGCTGTAGGGTTGCCATGAGGAGCAGTAGGGCCATCATGAGGAGCTGTAGGGTTGCCATGATGGAGATGTAGGGCCACTAGGAACTGTAGGGCTGCCATGAGGAGCTGTAGGACTACCATGAGGGAGCTGTAGGATTGCCATGAGGAAGTTGTAGGGTTGCCATGATGGAGCTGTAGGGTTATCATGAAGAGCTGTAGGGTTGCTGTGAGGAGCTATAAGACCACCATGATGGAGCTGTAGGGCCATGAGGAGCAGTGAGGCAATGAGGATCTATAGGACCACGAGATGCTGCAGTGCTACCATGAAGCCTCTCTTCATCCTCCTCTGCTCTGGGCCAAGCAACCCAAGGGCCCTCAGCCCCTCCTCACATATCCAGACCCTTCCCCATCTCCGTATCCCCACTATGACCTCCCTGCCCCATGCGGATGCTCTGAGCTGGGCACAGACAGCAGCAGCAGTGATGGTGACGTTGCCCTTCAGCCTTCCTGTTCCTCCTGTTCCTGTAACCCCGCACACAACTGCATTCCTCCCTGCTGGACAACATGGAAATGTTTTGAGAGCGTCTTAGAAACCTGTGTTACTGCCAAAGCAGAGAAAAATGGAGACATTAAGAGAAATGTGGGGCTGAGGGCCAGCTCCTCTCTAATGAGAAGAGCTGCTCGGCTCAGATGTGCAGTTGCAGCTGTGCAAATCATTCAATTCTCTGTAGCTGGATTTGTAACATCTGCCTCTGTTTGGCTCGTGTAAGCTGCTTTGGAGGCTCTGGAAATGGAAAATGGGGATTTTTAGGGGTGGTTGGATCCTCTCTGTCCGGTCTGGGCGAGGGGTGGCCATCCCCTGCCAGTGCTCCTGCACAAAAAGGGTGGAGATGAGCAGGGTGGGTTAGAGGGAACACGGAGCTTTGGGATATAAAATCCCAGAATCATGTAGGTTGGAGAAGATCTTCAAGGTCCCCAAGGCCAATCCCAGCACACCCCACCATGCCCACATCCCTCAGTGCCACATCCCCATGGTTCTGGAACACCCCCAAGGAATGTGATTCCCACTCTCTGGGCAGCTGTGCCACTGCATCACCACTCCTTCAGAGAACAAATTTCCCTAATATCCAACCTGACCTCCCCTAGTGCAACACGAGGCTATTGCCTCTCATCCTATTGCTGTTACCTGGGGGCAGAAGCTGACCCTCACCTCACCATCCTGTCAGGTCATTGGAGAGAGCCATGAGGTCTCAGAAGGTGACAACCCTCCTCTTATCTCCTCTGCACCCAAATGAGTGAAAAAGTGGGAAAAGACCAAAGCAGTGGAAGGAAAGGCAATGGGCAGCAAAGCTGGGAAAACTCTCTTGATGAATACTGAATGGGTTTCATCCAGACCCAAAAGAGACACCAATCTGCTGGCTGGATTTCACACCACCTCCTCTTGGTCACTGACCAAGCTGCTGAGCTGACCCTGCATCCAGCCATGTCCATAACAAAACACTTCTCAGCATGAGAAAGTGCCTCGTGCCTGGCTTTGCCTCATACAATCAAGGAAGCATAGAATCTCAGGATGGAAGAGCTGCCCATTCCAATCTCAGGATGGAAGAGCTGGGAGCAGCAATGCCCATAGGCCAATAGGCTGGGATGTCTCTGGCCATGGTGCACCAATCCCTTTTGAAGGAGATGATAACACCGATGGCTTTGGAGGCTGATGATGGGATGGCACTGTCATTAGGCATGATGGGAGCAACAGAGTGGAGCACAACATCCACATCCACATCCACATCAGCACCCACATCAGCATCCACATCAACACCACCATGCATTGTTGGGCACCAACAGCTCGCTCTGCCTGTGGGTGCTATTAGAGCTGTGAAGCTATCTCAGAGCCAAGCCAGGCTGGATTAATTAAATCCCAGAGAGCCAGGCTTAACACAGCACATTGCTGCCCTTCCTGAGCTCGCTGCTGTCCCAGCAGAACAAATCCACCCTCCAAAGCCTCACCCAGGGGCTCCATCCCAGCATCCCTCCCCCACCCCCCACAAACACCAGGCCTGGCCTTCCTCCCTTATCAGGCTCAAATAGCTGTGCCGTGATGCATTGTTTTCCCTCCTCAAACAAATGACATCAGAAGAAGGAAACAGGCTGCTTTTTTGGCACAGAGGGCCGGCAGCAGTTGCTCGGCTCCAAATGCTCGTATCCTCATAATGCCTCCGCAGCAGCCACCACTTTCAGCCTCTAAATAATAGATGGCATCAGCTTGTTTCCCCCTTCTGCCTGCTTTACGGTCATCCCGGCCTCCTCCAGGAAGCCTGCCTGCAGATCTGGGGAGCCCATGCAGGAGTGGACTCAGGTGCAGGAGGAGGATCTGCCTTCCACCCACGGATGCAGATGGAGAATGTAGAGGGGAGCACTGGGGCTCACTTCGTGCTCACAGCAGTGAAATACCATGGGACGACCTGCAGACATCTCAGCGTGTCCTTTTCCATGGCTTTGCCCTACCCAGAAGCCACCCAGCGTGCCAAATTTGACCGGGTTTTTGCCCCAGGTGAGTAAGCTCTATAGGAAGGCAGAGCTGGATCTGGCCATGGTTTCACTCGGGCATTGGTGCTTTGCAGGGCACAAACCCAGTGCTGGTCCTCCAAAGCTTTCTGCAGGTTTTCTTGGGGGCTGTTTCATGCCAGGACAGAGCCCAGCACATCTCCATAGCGGGGCTGGAGGACACAGAGGATGCGATCCCCAAATTCGCATCCACCGCACCCAAAATCTACATTTCCAATTCAGGAACCTTGAAGGAATTCTCTTCACTACAGCCTGATTTGCCTGCAAGTTCCTGTAGACTCTCTGCTTCCTAGAGGGGTTTCAATGGGTCTGCAGCCCTCTGCAGGACAGGTCCTGTGTTTGGGAACTGCTCCTGAGAGCACCAGCATTGCTAAAATTAGAGCCCAGATGGCCTTGAAGTCCCACTGTCACATCATGTTCCCCATCCCTTCACTTCCCATAGAGACACAGCTGGCTCGTGGCAGGGGCATGCTGCACCAGCACCCATTGGGGCACAGCCTGGGGACATCTATTGTGGGACAGGGTCCCATACATGGGGGGCTGAGACAGCTGCCAGGCCCTGGTTGTGCTCCTTCAGATGGTTTCAGGCCTTTTTTTTCCCTCCAGGTCTGATCTGGGATTCCTTCAGCCAGTGGTGTTGCTCCATGTCCTGGGCTGACTCCAGTTCTGGAGCATCCCGGGGTGTAAGGTGGCTCACCAGGGCCATCCATGGTCCCATCACTGGGTGGGTCAGTGACATGGCCCCAGACCTGATCTCATCCATGATCTCATCATCAGAAAGGATCTGACCCCCAGTCCTATCCATGGTCCCACCACAGGAGTAGAGAGATTTCCAGCTGCAGTCCCAGCCTTGTTCCCATTCATGGTTCATTACAGAGGAGGCAGCATCCTGCTCCATCCTAGCCCCAGTTCCATCCATTGTCCCATTTCTGTTCTTCTGGTCCCAGCCCTGGTCCTGTTCATAGTCCCATCATCCTGGCAGGTGTCCAGCTCAGACTTCAGCATCAGTCCCTTCCACCACACTCCTAGCCCTGGTTCCACCAATGTTCCTATCATTCTGCAGGGGTCCAGTTCCAACCCCCTTCCCAATTCTATCCATGCTCCCATCACCATGGAAAGTGGTCTGAGTGGGACCACAGCAAGAAGTGATGGGATCCTGCTCTGATCCCAGCCCTGATCCCATCTATGGTTCCATCATTAGAGTTGGGGTCCAGCTCTGGTCTTGGCCATGGTGCCATCACTGGAGTAGCAACCGGGAGACAATCTCAGTCCCAGTTCTACATTGCAGGGATCTGGCCCTGGTCCCATTCGTGGTCATATCACCCTGCAGGGGGATGTCCAGCTCCAACTCCAGTCCCAGCCTCAGCCCCATCCATGGTTTCATCACCACGGTCTCACCACCAAGCAGAGTTTCTGCTCTAGCCCCATCCTCAGTCCCATCTATGATGCCGTCATTGGAAAGAGATCTACCTCTCATCCCAACTGCAATCCCATCAGCAGAGAAACACTTGTGAGTTCAGCCCTGGTCCCATCCCTGGGGAGCCTGGTCTCAGCCCCAGCCCCCGCTATGATTCCATAGGTGAGAGGGAGAGAGTTATAACTGTGGTCCCAACCATGGTCCCGTCACTGGGAGGGTCTATCCCTAACCTCAGCCCTGTTCCTATCTATGGTCCCGTTAC